TAATTCGTTTATTTTTTGAGTCAATCTTAGAGCCCATTCTTTCCAATACAAGAAATAAGATCTTGTACGTCAGAGGCCGGCCCTGTCATTGATTGAGAGAGCATTTCTTTGAAAGATGACAATAAAGTCCCATGTTACACTTATTGATTTAGATCTTATATTTTAGGGGAAGGGATGTGGTGGATACCGAAAGAGAGGGATTAAAAGTATAGACGTGAGAGATGAACGTGCATTTTTTTTTTTTGTTTCGCAATTTTTTGTTGTATTTTAATTTGAATGTGCATTTTGTTGAATGCGTTTGACATTTTTCTTCGCGAAACTTGTTCTGGCATGACTTTCGATATACATAATGATTTGTCGTATGAATTTGAATCGACGATTGCGTTATTAATCAGTTGGATCTAAACCAAGTTTTTTATGTATAGTAATATAAATGGATGTCTACAATGACATTGGGTAATTTACTGTTTCATCTACCTCCATGTAATGGCTTCCAAGTTGCAAAATGATGTAGGGTTTTTTTGTGCAATCAGTGATGGGTTTTTATTTTTTTTTTTTTGTTTTCGCTCTTTGGAGTTGTTAAAATCTGCTCAAATCATTAATGGAATGGAGTTCGGTTGAAGCATATACAATCTAGTGAATTACAAGGACGAAAATGCGACTGAAAAACATGTACAAATATGAAAATTCAGAGGCAAATCAGAAGTATTATTTATTTACTTTATCTCATCGATGACTTTAAAACAATATAAGCTGGTGAGAGGAATTCAAACTCAAATGTGTAAGAGCATCTCCATCTGTTGGTGGAAGGCAAGAGCAAGGCAAAGGCAAGGGCTTGTAAGTTGCCCTTGCTACTCACTCTGAATGGTAATTGCTTTTGTGCAACTCCACTCGTTTGAAAAAGGGCAAGAGCAAGTACTATTCACAAATATTTTTATTTAATTTTTTTATGCTTTGAAAATAAAACGATTGTTAATTCTAATAAATTATTTCAAATACAAGAATTTGGGAAGGGGAAAACAAATATAGAAGATGGTAGTAAAAATGAATATTGAGTTGTGATGGAGAAATGAAGAAGATGGTTGAGTATTTATAGAATAATCATATAAAACCTTTTTCTATTTTGTTTTGATTTTTGTTATAATTTTTTTTTCTATTTTTTAAATTTTTTTTTTTAGTTGAATGAATTTATCATCGTCATTGATTTTCAAACTGATAAGAAATGTGATACACCGAATTGTGTCATGTGCCGCAAAATTAATATTTTCCATTTTTTTTATCGTTGGAAATTCAATGGCCCATAAAGTGCCACATCAACTAGCCATTGGAGGGTTGTCAGTTTTTTGCTACAGCGGGGCCCACCGTTGCATTTTTTTGTCGGCCCACTCTCCTTCTGGGAGCACACGCACTTGACAGAAAAAAAAAATTAAAATCTGCACTGGCATCATCGTGACATCAGCTTGCTTGCCAATAGTAGGTCGGGCTTGAGAAGGCAGCGCGTTTGGGCTGGCAGTGGTTGGCTCACCTCTTGCCTTTGCTTTATTGGACTACTGATGAGTGTTTTATTTTTTTGGGTGGATGGATAATATTGTTACCTTTGTCCTTGAGTTCTACCAACAGGTAAAGATGCTCTCAGATCAACTCCGGCAGTTTCCAATTGCCCTTGCTATTGGGTGAAACTGGCTTCTTGCCTAGTAGTTGAAAAATGAGAGGGCAATTTTGCGAAAGGCAGATGCCCTGTCGATTATTACAGGGGCTTCACCTGCAAATAGGGCGACCCACCCCCCCATGAAGGACACAGAGCCAACTTGCTCAAATCAGGTGCAACAACTGTTGGATTTTGAAAGGTTTGTTGATCAGGACTGTAGATTTCCAATAGTAAAAAAAAAAATTTGGGGTTGCGCCACGAGGCACTTTTGTGGCGCTTGAGATTATAAAATTTTGAAAATTTAAATGGGCAGTATTAATCCAACTCTAAAAAATCTAAACCAAATCTAAAAAAGTTTTAAAAATGATTAAAAACGTTAAAAAACTTACAAAGTTCACACTTAAAAAATCTTACAAAGTTCAACACACTTGCAAATTGAACATTTAAAATTAAACAAAATCTACGATGATAATTATATGTGGGGATAAGACGAAGAAAACATTGAAAAATAAAAAATATGTTTGTAAATAGTAATCGGCCTTATCCTTACACAAAGACAATTACTGTTTAGCGTGAATAGTAAGGACAATTTCATTGCCCTTGCTTTTCAATTGCCTTTTCATTCCACCAATGGGTAGAGATGCTCTAAAGGAGAGCCTATGTAATACTCGAACCAGTGCGGCTAGCCTTAATATACAGCAACTCAACACTCCATTCTACATTTTCTACAAGAATTTCACTGGAAAAAAAATTGACTTTAAAAGTTATTTTATATATAAATTACCCTAATCTATTAGAAAGGATGAACTCAAATTTGTGTTTAAAAAAAAAAAAAAAAACAACGCATTGTCCTAACGAATTGGTCTAACTAACGTTTACAAATTGACTTGAAATTTGGGCCGGGTTTGTATGGATGCAAACACCATCGAAGTACAATAATATGTGGTTCAAACAGCCTCAGACAATGCAATTTAAGATAGTTTTTTTTTTTGGAGTTTTAATGAAATACTCCCGGTACTGTTCACTCTTAACGAAAAACAGCATTTTTACCTTTTTCTGATACTATTCACTATACCTTTATTTGTCATTTTTCATTAAAACTATTTTTTTTTTGAACTTTTTGTTAGTTTTCCTTTTCTTTTTTTTTCTTTTTTATTTATTTATTTATTTATTTTATTGTTTGTTTGTTTGTTTGTTTGATCGATCATAGTGGCTGAGATTATTGGTTAACTCAGTAAATGACTTTTTCCCCACTCATATAGGCTGTGTTCCTTGAACTATTCCTGACATGCAAATATGGTTTAATTTAGAGTTTGTGATGTGACAATCCACAAGTAATCTGTTACATTATTTGGTGAATAAATTTGGTGACTAATTTTATTTGATGATATAAATGCTCTTGGAACACATACGCGCATGCAGATTCAGTTATAAATTTCTATATATATATATATATATATATATATATATGGTTTTGTTATCTACAGGCATGCACATTAATTTTATGTTCAGTACTAGCTCATGTTAAGTCAGGCTGAACCTTCGGCTCATGCATGGTTGTCCATGTCTCTCTATGGTTGCAGAGACCTAATAAAGTACGAGGTTGCAGTCGAAGATCAACAAGAAGGATGAAGCATCTATCAAACATGAAGGAATGGGCTATTTTCAGGTGGAGCTAGGAAAGGATATGGGTGGTGGCCTCCCCATGTGGTTTCGTATTTTCAATAGCAGGGTCGAGTAATGAGAACCTTAGAAAATCCCAGTGAGGATTGACAAAAGTGCAGTTGTAGAATTCATTTTGTAGGCTTGAAATGCTGCAAACTTGAGCAGACAAGCTCTGCTTCTTTGCTTGGAAAAAAAGAGGGAGCCACAAGTAGCATATGCAAATGAAGGAATAGGATTGAAATGGTTTTTCTTTGTTTAGAATCTTTTTGTTTGTGGTTGTAAAGAAATTTAAGGTGTTCTAGCTTTATCTGCATGTCTGAATAAACAGCATGGAGACTCATATGGGTTGTCCCTTACTGCTACATTCCATTTCCTGAAGAGAGTAAATCTTTCATTCTATTTATCTTTTTATCTTTTCTTCCCAGGGAATTAAAAAAGAAGCTTTTCATGCTAGTCAAAGATTTAGAAGAGAGGGAAAGAGATTAGTAGAAGGGTAGAAGACTGTTGGTTGCTAAATCAGCACTTTTAGGAGCTAATCCGAATCCTTTCTTATGATGAATAAGTGCTATTAAAATGCAATGACCAAGATCTATCAGTTAAAAATCTTGAATTATAGGATACCAGGACACCAAAGACTTTTGAAGTTATGCAGTAATTATAGTTGTAAAACTTTTGTTTGGTGTAAGAGTATTGTTTTGTGATATTCCAAACAGAATGTGTCAAGATTTATGCCAATGTTGACCAAAAGAAAGTTTTATGGAAAATGTTGAAAACCCCAAGGGCTGTATGTATGCTCACTGTGGGACACTATCCATGTGCAAGACAACATGGGAGGAGTCTCTCTCTCAACCTATTTCTATCTGAATTCTGAAACCAGTTAAAGCAGAAATCACTTTGACAAGATTTTGATGTTGAGCTGAGGTGGACCAGGGACCCACAGAAGTTATTGGGCCCTAGTGGACCCATCTTGGGGTTAAAGAGAGCCCATCAGATATGACTAGTGGATCAACTTGCTTTGATGAACCAATTTGTGTGTAAATTAAGAACGAATATGAGGATTAGGTTGAGTAGTGCCTGTTTTTTTTTCTTTTCTGTTTTAAGTTTGAGTTTTATAAGCTATAGTATTTAGAATAGCAAAACAAACATTGTGGGTAATGCGAGTAAATGTGAGTTAGATCAGTTGGTCAGAATAATGTGTATGTTTTAAGTTTGAGTTTTGTAGGCTTGAGTGCTTAGAATAGCAAAATTAACTTCGTGTGGTATGTAACAAATAGAAAAGATGTGGATTATATTAGTTGGTCAAGTAATGTGTCACCTTGTTCACATGTAAATTCAAGTCTTACAGGTTAAAGTGATTAGAATAAAAAAAGAAAACCTTTGTTTAAAGTAATAAAGAGAGCACATATGAATTAGGTTAGGTGGCTTTTTTGTATAGAGTTCGACTCTTATAGGCTAAAGTGATTAGAATAGCACAAAAAAAACCTTGTGTGTAAAGTAATAGAGAAAGCATATGTATGTTTACCCTACCAAAGCAGTGTGTTGGGTTCTTTGCATTAAAGCTCGAGTCCTATAAGCTAGAGTGATAACAGTAGCAAAAGGATTTTGACACCTCCATTTTTTTCAAAATAAATTTAAGAAGAATCAATCAACAAATAAAAAAGAGTACAAAAGAATAAAATATAAGTGCGGAGATCATTTCCCGTTAAAATATCAAAAAAATAATTGAGGGTGATGGAGATGGAGATTCTCTTCATTTGACTAGAAATGGATTATTATTAAATTTGAACACAATATTCCACAGGAAATAAAGAATAAGCCACATCTTCCTTTTATGCCCAATTATTTTCATATGTTAGGGGTTTTTTTTCTATAGGAGAGGGCTAACTTCTGTATTTTACATTATTCTCTACACAAACTGATACCAGTTTTGGTTGATTAGTCACCAAATAAATTTTTGTTTTCCAAAGAAAAAAAAAAAAAAAGGAAAAAAAGAGGACAATTGCAATTTCTCTGCCATTTTTGCGTCCTCCATATTTAGAAATGTGAAATGCATCTCCTATGGCGAGCTGCAACAGATTTTCTCTTCTGCTTGGTCTCTTCTTTCCAGCTCTTGGCAATGTCCTGTGACACACCAATGGCATCCAATGAGGCTCCAGATAGTCCTCTCCTTGTAAACCCTACTGCATATAGTCCTGCATTCCCTTTCCACCCATTTGGAAATGCATTCTTAGGAATTCCTTCTCGTGAAAAGAATTCATTTTCCTGCACAACATAAACATTCCAAACGAATATTTAGTTTTAAGCCATTTAGTAATTTCATTCATACATGCAGTTTGTAAACGCAAGTGTAATTCATAATCGGAATTTAGTCTTTCAAGATTCTGATTACGGATAAGTCTAGTTCTTTTGGTTATGTGGTGATCAAACATCATTCGCACCTACCTGGAAATTTGATTTAAGAGTTGAGATTAAAACGTTAAAAACACATTCATTTATTCTCTACCATCAATATCAATCAAAAATGAGTGACTATTCAGTTCTTGATCGTCCAAATACTAAAAGAACATTTATTTAAGTAAAAAAAATCATAATTGTCTATGTGAACCTGTATTTTTCCATTTTAAAAATATGTGGTAATAAAAGGGTGTATGGAAATAGGGATAACTTCCATAACTGTCTGATGGATTTGAATTGAAAATAGAAGCTTCCAAACACATAAACATGGAAATATTCCAAGAATAAAATAAAAAAATTTCTAACCTTGAGCCATGAAGGAACATTGCTCCGATACCCAGTTGCCAAAACAACAGAATCGATCTCAAGAATTTGTCCATCAACAAGTTCAACTCTGTCATGAGAGAACCTTGAGATTCCAGGAACCACCTTGATCTTACCAGATCTTACTTTTTTCAAGGCACCAGTATCCAACACTGGAGTTTTCCCTGAAATGTTTTTGAGCTCCAAAGGACCTAAAGATGGCCTTTTCAGGCCATATTTTTCAAGATTTCCATAAAGTAGCCATGCCAGCATCAGCAATATCTTGTCAGCAAGCCAGAGTGGCAGCCATTTCATCAACAAAACTGCCAATTCAAAGGTTGACTTTCCAAAAATCTCCCTTGGCAAGACATGAACCTGTTACCAAAAATAGAGGAATAAGAAACTCATTAAGTTGAAGTTTGACTTTGTATTAGTAAATAAACAAAGGTACTAAACTTTCATTAAAAACCAGTCATTGATGAAATTCGAACTCAAACTGTGGAAGGAAAAAGGTTTGTCAAATTTCATTACTCACCGAACTTCGAACCACCATTGAAGGACTTGCATTGTGATTGCAAAGATCAAGAGAGACTTCCATGCCTGAATTTCCGCATCCGACAACTAGTACTTGCTTGCCACGGTAAGCGAGGCCGGACTTGTAGTCACAGGCATGTACGACATTCCCTTTAAACTCTTCCAAGCCTTCGAATTCCGGCACTACTTTCTCCGAATTCTCTCCAGTTGCCACCACGAGCCACCGGCAGATGTACTCAACTTCGGCAAAGGAAGAAGGGTTTGAGTCGCTCGTTGAAATACTCGTCTTGACCCTCCAATGACCAAAGGTTTCATCATACTCGGCAGACTGGACAGTCTCATTGAAATTTGGGCTAATGTCAAAGTGTTGAGCATAGGACTCTAGGTAGTTGATGAACTGGTCTTTTGTGGGGTATTCTGGGAAGTCGTCAGGGAATGGGAAATTGGGTAGTTGGCAGAATTGCTTGGGGAGGTGAAGTTTGAGGCGATCATATGTGCGTTTTTGCCAAAGAGAAGCAATGCAATCGGCTCTTTCTAGTACAATAAAGGGGACGCCTTGTTCTTTAAGGCCAGCACCAACTGCTAGGCCTGAAGGACCTGCCCCTACAATTACAGGACCATTCACCCAAATACACTTCCTAGCAAAAAAATCAATATCTTGGTCAAATGATTGGTGAACCATTTGGGGTATGTGGTGAGGGAGACAGGAGTACTTGTTGCACAAAATTAGAAAGAGTGTGAAAATTGGAGAGTTGGTGTTTTGGGAATGGAGGGGGAGAGAGAGAGAGAGAGAATGGAATGTTAGATGTTTTGGAAGGAAGTGATGTGTGAGAGGGGAGAGAGGGATGGAGAGGTTTAAATAGAGAGAGAGGGTTCTTGGCCTTGAGAGCTAAGCATGTGACTGGGATTTGAAAATGATGGTTTGAGCCTTTGAGGGTCATTCATCAAATAATATGGTTTTGGCCGTCTTGTTTTGTGTCATTGCATTAATTAATTCAATTAGCATTTAGAAACCTACCTAACTAAATATGTATCTATACAAACCCAATCACGTTCTTATGTATTTTCCGAGTTCAACCTTGTCCGGACGTGAACAATTGTCCCATATAAGTTTATCTTCTCTTTTTTTCTTTTTCCTTTTTGGATCAGACGTCCCATATAAGTTTATCAAAATTTGCATTCTAATAAGGAGTTCAATTACTCTTCGTTTTGTCAATGAATTTATGGTAGACCTTCAAGTGTCTTGAAACCTTTAGTGAAGTGTGTGCTTCTTCGTCTATTTATTTTTATTTTCTTCTATACAAGCCATATTAATTTGGAAGAGGAGGAGGAGGGCAAATACAAAATCTCTAGTTTAAAGAATGAATGTTATTAACCAACCGAGTTACACGTTACTTTTTTTCTTTTCCAACCTTAGGTGGCGACAAGCCAAGCCACCCACTTGTGGTGACCAAGAAGTTAACAATGCTATATTAGATACTCTCAAACCTATGTGAAGGAGCACATGGTTTGTAGCCTGCTTTTTCCAGGGTTGGGTTCCAATAAGATAAGTCGGCCCTATAAACTTAGGCTACAACTGGTTTTGTGACTTCCTTGGTTTTAACTCCCCCTCCAGCAGTCAAAATTGTTTTGTCCAATCGGTACTGAATAATGCAACTCAAGAACCAACATTAATTGATCTGCACATGTCCATATTTAACCCACTTTTTGTGCAGACTATATATATGTATGTATGTATGTATACTTCTTCCTCTTTCTTCATTGACCAGGCTTTGATTGAGGGCATAACATAACAAGTATTTGTTTGGGAATATAATCATGGCCACGCAATCTTGAAATTTGTCTTTGATGGAGATTTGATCAAATCATAAGCAAACCGACTTTGGTTTTCTGCAGAAAACATCTAGCTACAAACCCATAACAATCATTAGTTTCTATAAACTATATATATGTCAAATTTTTATTTTTATTTTTTTGGTAAATATAACGCATATGTACATATTGCCCATCACAATTTAACAGTTTTATTAACACATGTTCAGGGCATTGCCATCGAAAGTTTCAGAAGGTTAAGCAGTAGGAACTATCCAGCCGAAATGTCTTTGTTAAACAATGACAACAAACAAGCTAACCGAAGGAAAATGCCACAAAATCCCTTTCATATAGTTGCATACAAAATTTGTTGCTCTAATTCTAGAGCATTTTCTTCTTTGGACATGCTCCAAAATCTTGAATTTGACAATGCAAAACTACAATGTTGACACATAATTAAACAACAAAAATAGATGGTTCACAAGCCATCCTTTTAACAAATGGGCGAACCAGAATGATTTGTTATATGTGGTATCAACCTCATCTTGCTTGTGGACATTTTTATTTTTATGTTTTTATACATGGAAATGATAATCACACATACCAATCTTGTCTTCTTACACATTTTTTTTATCATTAAATTGTATAAATCAAACGAAAACAGAGGATACAATTAATTAGGAGTGTGTAGGGAGACAAAAAGATACAATTAGCACAAGGGAAACGAGCCACAGAACTCAGGTATGTGAATGAGTGGTTAGCACCTTTTATATATACACATAAATATTACTTGAACCATATATATATATATATATATATATAACCTATATGTATCTATTAAGAGATAATTGGAGCAATGACTCTTGAATTTTAGCTTAATTGGAACTTTATTTCCTGGACTATAAAAATTTAAGAGTATTGGTCCGTGAACTTGTTATAATGTGGAGCAATGATTCTTTTGACTAACTGTGTTAGAACCTTCATCCTTTTTTTTTCCTTTCTAAATCCTTTTTTTTGGTTTGTTTGTTAAAAAAATTCTTTATTTTGGATGGAATTTCTACCGGAGTTAGTCAAAAAGGTCATTACTCCACATTATAATAAGTTCTTTAAAAAATGAGACAACTAGTGGCAAACCAAGGTTAGCCACCCATTCTGGGGGCTGGGAAGACTCACCCACATTATAGTAAGTTCAATGACCAAAGTTCCATTTAGGCCAAATTTTAAGAACCATTTTCCCAATCTTCTCATATTGTAATGGTTAGTTGGTAGAAGGTGTTCCGTAATATCGGGGTACCTCTCTCTCTAAACTGGTTGCTATATATGCACATGCTTTATTGGTTTGTATGGAAGTGATGTTAAGTATAAGTTTAATCAAACAGTCATTGGATATTATACAATTTGGCAAGAGATTTTCTGTCAAAGCTAATAATATTAGCTATTGATTTGATGAATTTTGACCGAGTGGCATGTCAATGGCTCCACACAAGTTGGTGAATGTAACCTTTGTGCCTGTGCAATGCACCTCCTGCTCTGACCACCACAATTTTTCATAAGCATCAACGATAATAAGGAGAGCTGATTTTTATACGAGGAAAACTAATGAAAAAGACTTGAAAATTTTGAGTTTTAAGGATAAGGACAAAATAAAGGGTAAAGTGAATAGTACCAGGATTGACTTTTTAGTGTATAAATGTGGTTTTTCGTTAAAGTTCTCTTTTATATATCATTTTTAACCAACACTCTCCTCGAAAATGATCATAAAATGACATTAAACCACAACCTCTTTATTATTAATATTATTGAACTCTAACTTTTTTAATTAGTGAGAATGAACGATTCGAACTTTATACCTTTTCGAACATTATAAAATAAAATTATTAAATTTATAACTAGCTGGTTGGTAGTTAGACTCTGACCTTAAGAATGAAGGCATCAGGTTAAAGAATTTACTACTAAATCTATAAATTCCTGCCTAAAGTACTAAATCTATTGACTTACCATTTCAACACGACTCATAAACCCACTGATGAGACAAAAGAGGAGAGAGATGCCTAGTCAATGGTAGATGGTTGGTTGCTCTATCTGAAGCATTTTAGGGACACCTGCCATCAGCTACCATCTTACCGGAACATTTTTCATTTTATTTACCTTGCAATATTGTAAGATGATTTAAATTGTTTATTTTTTGTCACTTTAAAAGTTGACTTAAAAAAATTAACTATTTAAATTAAGAATTGTTTAGTTGTTTAATTAATATTGTCAATTTTTTTTACAAACGGTATTATTTACATTAAAGGGATGAACGATTGGGTTAAGCTTCATAACGGGCTAACAATAATGTGGTTCAAATTCAACTTTAGCAAGAATCGAACTTAAGACCTCTAACCTACAAGTGAAGAGAGCCACTAGACCGTAGTACTTAGTGACATATTGTCAAAATTTTAGAAGTTAACTTAAAATTATAGGAAAACTAATGAAAATGACTTGAAAACTTTGAGTTTTAACTATAAGGACAAAATAAAGGGTAAAGTGAATAGTACCAAGATTGATTTTTTAGTGTAAAAATATGGTTTTTTGTCAAAATACACAATATCGGAAGTTTTTCGTTAAAGTTCCCTAAAATTATAGCTTGTATATTTTTTGTAATTGTATGATGATACTTAACTGGCTTCAGATATAGTTTAAATGAAAGTTCAGTAGTCTACGCAATGCTGTCCCCCTAATAACGCCCTACAGGATTACTAGCGAAAAAACGATAATGCAGCGTTCACGACAGACCCCTGCGTGTGAAATGACCGTGGTAATGGAGCGTGGGTGAAATATAACTAAATAATAAATGATGCACTTGAGCACTCAACCTTTGTTCGAATTTGAATTTGTCACAGACATTTTTCAGTCACCTCCACCAGACAACTCCCGAACATGTCTGTTGCGAATAGACATGCTCACTACAAATACATGCAACTGCGTATCATTTAATTAACTGAAAATCATCAATCCCTACATACCAAGCATACTGAAAGTATCACAGAAATTCGCCAGAAATCTAGTTTTCCGATACTGGAATTCTAACTTAGATTGTTGAATCCTGATGAAGCAGACGTCCGTAGAACTACAAGTACTGAGCAGGGACGAAATTTCTGTTTCAAGGACATTGCGGTACGCAAGCCTCGATCTTCTGTTTATCTGCTTAAATATTATTTCATTTTGTTTATTCTCTGTAATATATTTATTCGCATTTATTATTAGCATATATAAATTTATCACATATTGTTGACATATATCTAATATGGTTATTTGAATTAAGGCTCATTCTGAATTTCTCAATTCTAATGATGAAAAGATAAAAGTTACATAGGTACTATTGCAAGATCTTACAACATGATGTGCGTGATGGGTAGGGGTTTAGAATATTTTAGCACGCACGCATGTATTGTTACAAATAGTATCAAAGGCAATTCAATTACTAATTGTTTGTGCCACAGCAAGTGGGTTAAGGATTTCATTGTTGATCCTGACATCTTCGTGTGAGATCCCAAGTTTGTAAGGTTTATATATGGCGTCCGTTAAGAGTTTTACATCACTTGCGATGTTGCTTTCTACACAACTGTAAGAGAGCCTTGCTAATGACTATTCTTTTTAATATAGTGCATATAAGTGTAGTGAGGAAGTATTTAGAGGTCTGGCATATTTTCGATACATAAATGTAAAGCAAAAATTAAGCAAGATGTTGGTGTCAAAACTCCGATGGGGTCTGAATTGTGTTCAACAAGTATTTGCTCCAAATGTTGTTTTCGGTCTCGGTGCCACAAGATGGCTCCAGAAAAAGAGAGAATAGACATGCCATTATTGGAGGCTTCCAATAGATGGTGTTTGTGCCACACCCTAATCCCCAAATATGTCCAAAATCGACATGTGACACTAGAATGTAGGGGGTGCAAGTAAATACATACAAGATATACTGAAACTAAACTCAAATAAGTTATGCTAGTGGAGTCTCTCCCTCAAATATAAACACAAGGTTTGTACATCAAAATACACATAAACCCTCACTAGAATATAGATAAACCAAAAATAATACAAGGAAAGGTATAAGGGTAACCTAATTCCTCCAAGCTCTCTGGCCTCATACAGCTACCCCACTAATTCCTTGTATCTACTTGGCTCTATCACCTGCATAATCGTCCCATATACCATGGGAATTGTGCACCGGGCAAAGAAAAACCCGAATAAGTTGCGAAGCTCGTGTGAGTGATAATAATTCAATGTATGTGATAGTAATAAAACAAGTCCATTGATCTCAGTAGAAATATAAATCGTATAACCATACGTTATGAAATCATGATCAATCTTGATGGAAATCCCAAAAGGAATCACACAAACATCCATCAACATTTCAAAATCAGTTCATAAAGGTTCTCAAATCTCTCGTTCATATTTTGTTGAAAAATAGGGATAGAGCGACAAAGTTCGGCCAAAGCCTACAATAAGTAATAAGCAGGAAGTGACCCCCCAATGCGGATTAACCAAGCATAACCAATTTTAAGAACAAAGTAAGCAAGCAGAAAGTGTGCCCTC